AAATGCAACCATGGGTAACGTTAGAGCTCTATCATAAAATGAAAGAAAAAAGTAGATTATTTAAAATGTGGAAGTCTAATCCAAATAATTAAAAATACATATTAAACTATACTGCATTTAGAAATAGGCTTAACGATGGAAATAGGAATACAAATATATATATATACTATATATATATAATAATATATATATAATATATATATATTATATATATATAATAAATGTGAATAACAAGTAAGCACTATAAACTCAAATAAATAATACACTAAATCAAAAATCTGATTAGTAATATTGATGATATATGATTTAATGTTTTAGAAGAGCAGAGTGACAGAAATAGCAAAATAACATGCCAAATAGCTTTTTTGAACAAATTAATAATATCATAGAAGAAAATAACTATGATGAAACAGAGGTGATTAATGAACCTAAAGATATTATAGTTAATTTCTATTTCCCACTATGCAAAGAAAACAATTATCTCAAGAGAAATTAATGCGAATAAATCTGCTGGTTATGATAATATTAGAGCAAAAGATATTGTAAAGAATAACCTTTAGCAAGTTGTTAACAAAATTGCTAAACGATTGAATTAATAGTGGAACATTTAAAAATTACAAATTTTATTTATTAGACCAATTTTCAAGAAAGGTGATAAATATGGTATGAGTAATTGTAAACCAATATTCATATTACCTGTGATAGAAAAAATATTTGAAAAATATACAGTTAAGCATCTAAATAATTATCTAAGAAAAATTATATAATTAATAATAATTAAAGTGGATTTCAAAGAGGTAAAGGGACAGAAAAGTTTCTAGTACAAGTGATAGATTATATAACCAATCAATTGAATATAGGACATGGAGTATCTGCTATATACAGTGACTACTCAAAAGCATTTGATACAGTGAAACGTTCTATATTACTAAAAAGACTGAAAACAATAGGAGTTTCTCACAACTATTGTAAATTATTCCAAAGCAATTTTAAGAATAGAAATTTTATGGTGAAAATAACTCACAAAATTAGTAATTACAACCAATAAAACACAGGGTAGCTGTATAGGACCAGTATTATTAACTGATGTTCAAACATTTCACTGGTTTGTTCAGTGTTGTTAATAAGTGTAAGTTATACATGTATGATGATGCAAACCTGCTGTAGGCTAATGAAGACCTAAAGATAGGCCAGGGTTCTCTGCAGAAGGAATTTGATGCAATTGCTGAACTGTCATATGGGAATAATTTGTATATTAACTCGTCCAGAACAAAAATAATGAATTTTAAAAAACCATATATAACTGATTGTCAAATTAAAAACAAATTTATGCACAAAATAAACTGTACATCCACATCTACTGATAACATTTGTAAATTTGAGAGGCTTCAGCTGGTAACAGAATATAATTGTCCTGGCATATTTTTGGATACTCATCTCAAATTTCACAGGCACATTAATTTGGTATATGATAAGATGAAAATAATATTTGGATGTATTTATACATTGATACGATTTGTGAATAAAAAAGTGCTCAGAATATTGTACAAAGCACTAGATGAATCAATCATATGATATGGGGTACAAATATGGGGCAATGCAAGCAAAATGCATCTAAATAAATTAAACTCTTTACAGTTTAGAATACTACAAATAGTTGAAAAGAATAAAGAATTGTACGAGAAACAACTGTTAGCTAGTAATGAAACAACATCAAGTTTTAAATACCCTCAAATAACTCAACATTATAGTGATACCTTTAGGATTTCACCTACAGGTGAATACCAGGTGAGAAGACCAAAGTATTAAGTTCTGTGTGTATTTAACAGCTATAGTGAAAAAAGGCTAAGGTGCTTAATACCCAAACTATTTAATGCAATTCCACAATATATTAAATTATAATGTAAAGTATAAAATCTTATGTAAAGATATTAAAGATTGGCTACAATCAGATATATAATTAATTTTGGAGAAAAAAACAAAAACAAATAAGATTATGAAATATATATTCTAACGGCAAAAACAAACATTCAACTCTGCAGTGGTTGCCACAACATCATTGCGAAAAAGAAAGAAAAATAAAAAATTGGAATGCAAGATATGTCTAAATTGATATTGTAATGTATATTGTTAATGTTTGGTTTTGACTAAATTGTACTTGTAAATTGGGGAAACTTTGGGCAAAAACAATTAATTGTATTCTTTAAAGCAAAAATAAATCAATGTACTTATGCTAATTTCACGGCAACTTCATGTAACTTGTTTTATATTCTCAGCAAAAAATATTCTAAGAATTTTCTCAAAGCATTAACTTGTTATATTCAAATATGTATGTTTAGTTACGTGTTCTACAATCACAACATGGAAGATGAAAGTTTCGCAGTTAAGATCATTTCTAACACTATAATACTCAGCAAGATTTGAATATTCCTACAACAAACACAATGGGGACATGTCATGAAAGTGTGCTGTGAAGCGCAGTGAAGAAGTGAGGGGACCTTCTCCGAAACCCAAGCATTTGAGGGCTTTCAATGACTATTACGCGAACCCACACATTAAATCAACTGTGTTGCCACATATTCTGGATATTAGAGAATAATGTGCACAACTGAAACACTGTTCAGGGTCTGGGTAGAAAAATGATATTTTTTATGAGGTAATGTCTGAAATTACTGAACCCCGGTGATATCACGGTTGTCATAGCAACCCCTGGGGCAAGCTGTACCCTGCAGGTTGAGAGGCTTGAGAAAGCAGTCTTCAAGGGAGGTACGTGAAGCTGGAACAGCGATGCCAACATACCAGAATAAAATCAGTCAAATAATGTATTGCTAAATAATTAGCAATAAATCATTTGACTGGTTTCGTTCCGGTGTGCTGACATGGCTGTTCCAGCTTCATGCACCTCTTCAAGGGCCAGCGTGGTCAGCGGTGCACTCACCCAACACTTTCGTGAGTTTGCAGTGCCAAGAAGTGTTCTGCATGTGTGCCATTCAAAATACACATACGTTTCGGTTTAAGCCAACAGTAGTATGTGATACAAAAAACTAATGTAAAATGTAATTTTTATGTAAATAATTGAAGTGCTACTTCTTTCCCAGAATAGTCTCCCCTTAACAATTGGTAATTAATAAATTAAATCTGTTAAAATTTATATTAGTTTCCTCTTTCACGATCAGTATATGCTCTAAGTGTATAGAAACAGTTACACCGCAGAAAAAAATGACTTGGTATTTAAACTTGTGTAAGATTTTCCTCGTTTAATGTCATCTGGCAATGCGTTGTAAAATACTGTGTTCGTGAATGTATTGTATGGGATTTCTTTATAATGTGCTGTTGATACTAACATCCGATAGTTATGATTCAAATGCTGCATGTTGTAATTACAGTCATCAGTGTTGGATAATAATGTTCCCATTCTTGGCAGTTTTGACAAGAACAAGTGATTCATAATTGAAGAGGCACAGCAATGGTTAATAGAGAATCAGAAGAAATCACACCGATGACATTGTTTCCCAAAAATATTATGCCAATCTCAAGTGAAAACAATCATTTGCAAAATATACACAAGCTGTGTGAAGAATGAATGAATTAGGAAGTATTGTAAATGCATAGCAGAACATAATTTTTTGTTCAATTCATTTAAATGTATGTTCTATTTGAAGTTTAACTGAATACCCGAAAAGTTAGAGAACTAATATTAAAAAAAGATCTAGTACAGTATCGTAACAAAATGAATACGGGGCCGGCCAGAAAATCACGGTTGCAATTCTTACAATGACAAAATCTTCAGCCCAGAAATAGGCTCTCTTTAACCTGGGCCCGCCTGCATTGCGGGCCTAAATGTTACGCCACTGATCTAGTAGTAATTTCTGGAGGGAAGATATTTTTATTTCAAGTAATGAATATTGTTGTACACAAATTACAGAATCCCTCAGAATCTAAGCTGGGAGAATGGATTGCCACTGGTTATGGTACGATATTGATTGGATCCCTTGTGATGGGTTTCAAAAAGTGCTCCATATCCAATGCATTGGATAGTCTAGAAGAATTCCTACTAAGGGACCAGGGAAAAATACAAAAGATTGAGTGCCAAGAACTATTATGATTTTTACGATAAAGAAGAAAGTTGTGATGGCACAGATGCAGCTTAGCTCTCTTATCAAACATCATGTTGTTTTTTGTCTTTAAACCATTAATTCTTCGTGTGTGTGTGTGTGATTTTATTGTAATTGGCAACAGTTACATTTAAATAAAAATGGAAAAAAAATTTCTAGGAAGGTCTTTACAAGTTTATGCACACAGTAGATATACATTAGAGTAAATTCTGTAATTGAGCTCTACAACTGCCTCTAGTGAATGAATTCAATCTTTCTTTTACAACCTGAAAGAGAACTCTACAGAATTATGGTAGACTTATAACATTTTAAATCTTATTGATACATAGACCAATAATAACAATATAAAAATATGAGTGCTACAATTACAAGAAATTAACAAGTTTTACCAGTTTACAAGGTTTCAATTACATGTACGGTAGATGTGATATCAGATAAAACTCCAGGCATCTGTAACTGTGGATCCTAAAAATTCAATGCTTCATTTGAAACTAAATAAAAAATGATGGTATGTATATATTTAACTACAATGTACTTACAAACCATCAGTAAACTTTCAGGCAAATGAACTTTAAATCTATAATGGCATGTAGATAACCCCACATTGACATTTATAACTACATATCTTTGTTTACTTCTGTTCACTCACCTGTACTTAGTTTTACTCATTTCAATTCATAAATTACTTTTGAATTGTGCTAACTTTGATAAAATGTATCCATGCTTTGATGTTCCAGAATCATAAAATAAAATAAGCATAACATAATGCATTCTTGACAATGTACAAGACTAGGAAGATCAATGCAGGTGATAAATGAAGAGAATCATGAAAAAATAAACCAGTAGCTGTAATTGTAATGGAAATAAAATTTTGTGTAGAAACACAAGTGCACTGCTGAAAAAGAAATAGGAAGGCATATAAATAGAAAGGGAAAAAGATGACATAGAGCATAAAGCAGTTCACACTTCAGCAGAAGAAACTTGTATTCATTCCATGAAAAACATTGTTGCAAAAAGAGATAATGCCAGAGAAGTGGTATAATATCATTTAAGAAGGGCGCATTTAAAGACTGCACCACCCAGATACAAACACACAAACATTAAGTTGCTACATATTTGATAAAATGTCTAATTACACAATTACCATTCAAACTTACAACTAATACAAAAACAAGCAATTAATTATGTGAATATTGGGCAAAACGTGACCTCTGTCCACATGCACAAGAAAGAAAATTTACAAATTGAAAATTATTAAACAACAAAAGAAAATATATAACATAACATAATATAACATACACAATAACACAACTAACAGAATACATTCATACATTAATAAGCACACACAATTGTTACAGCTATCTCTTCGGACAGACAAGAAAATTTAATTTTTCCAGAGAGAGGGGATACAACAATGAAGTCATGATAACTAAAGTATATATAGAAGAAATGCAAATGAGGACTAAGTTTTAAAATAAAACTGGATGAAATAACACGGCGTTGCCAGGGTATTCAATTTTTCACCATCATCTATTAGCTAGGAAAAAAGAATTATTTTGATCTGCAGTGTAATCTGCAGAGTAAAATGGAAGAAATTTTATTTACATCCTCACCACGTCATGCCCTCTCTGCTTCTCTCCACTCCACTCTGCTCCACAACACCTTCCCCGCCCCATTCCCCGAGCCCCAAGGTACAACACTTGGTTCTCCCTATCACACCCTATTGCTCTCGCTGTCGGCGCCGGCCCCTGCCCCTGGTCCTGCCCCTTCCTCACCCATCTGGCCCTGAAGCCTGCATTTGCTGCTCCGCAATACTCACATGTCATAGACTCAACCATAAAAACATTTTAGATGGATTATAGAGGGAAAGTATGTCACTGAGCAATTCAGAATTAAGATATATAAAAATAATAAATTTCATGAAGATGTGACTATTGGCTGGAAAGTTTTTGCGGAAGCAATTCAGAGTTAAGATATATAAAAATAATAAATTTCATAAACATCTGACTATTGGCTGGAAAGTTTTTGCGGGACATACAGAAAATGTTTATAATATAACATTTCACAGAGTATTTTTTTTTTAACTTACCACCATCACCGTCAGCAGGCATCACCACAGAACCAAAGAACCGTTTGTCTAGAACTTGCAGAAGCTGCAATGCAGTTTCATGAACTAAGGTCCGTGGACATCCAGTATTCATAAGAGTTACGTTTATCACAGCAGTGTAGTGATCACATGGATATTCCCTGCATAATTTGCACATAGAAAATGAATAATTAAATAAATTCACTTTTAACTTATAACCTAAAATACAATGTTTTAAAGAAAATGTAAGCTGTAAAAATGCAAGAAATGTAAGGAAATTGATTCCAATAAATCATTTTTACTTATATTAAATTTAAATGGCAAGAAAGTTACAAACCTCGCACTGAAAATTGTTGCTAGAGCAAGGAAACAGCCATCAGCAACTTTTGCTGATCCAGTGTAACATCGATCAACAACCCAATCGAGTAATAACCCCATGTCAGGATTACATTCCAGAAGTAGTATCACAGTTTCTCTGGCCAGTTGATAGATCTAGAAATAAAATTTACAAAAATAAGGGGGCATCCATTATTTACATAAAAATCAATAAATGTTATAAAATAAATGCAAAAATATTTAAAGCACTCGCACAGTTTAATATTTTATTTGCATACAGCAGATTTTCTGATTATGTTTGAAATCTAATTACAATTCACACTTATTGTGATATCATTAATGGTTAATAAAGCACTGCCAATCACTGTTGACTGTTTTAATAAGCAACTCCCTTGATGTAAGTTGCATCAAAAGCCTTTGCATTCAAGCAACCTCTACAGTTGTAATTTCACATTAATAGTAGCTGACACCAAGAAGATAGAGGAAAGAGAGAGGAAAGAAAGAAGGAGAAGTGAAGGACAAGAGAAGGAGGAGCAAGAACAGAAGGAGCTAATGGTGCTAGAAGAGTTAGTAATGCTAGCAATGCAATTTGTTAATCAACATTCCAGATTTAGGGCCTATTCCAAACCCACCCCCAATTATGAAGGAGGTGTGGGGGCTTCTGGTGTGGGTTGCAGGTATCGGAGTTGATTACAGTGCGAGAGTCTGTGAAAACACGAAGATGGGAAAAGCAATAGACAAGTCTCCACAACCGATACCATGACCGAAATTAATTGTGTTGTAGGAGTTAGGGTGGCGTATGTCAATAGATTTGCGATAAAGTTAAAGAAAAAAGCTGACCACACCTCAGAGGAAGTGAAAAAGTGAACGAAAGAGGGTTACAGTCAAGTTTTGTTCCGTCTTGCTAAGAAAAGTACCCATAAATAGACATATAACATCATCTCAAACCCAAAGTGTTGTCCAAGAGAATAAAGTACACATTTCCTTAAAAACTGTAACGAGGCAGTTAAAAGGGGCTGAAAGGCACATGACCCCACAATAAACAAAAATTGACTGACTCTACAGGGTGGGGCACAAAATGTGTCACCATTTGCCTCTTACATAACTTATGAGTGGCACTGGTTAACCTGTTGAGCATCTCAACAGTAGTAGCAGTAGAGCTTGGAGAAACAAATGAGTTACAAAATAAGGAGTAATTCACGATTCCACCGTTAGGAGACTAGTTTATATAACAATGAACTTGTAGTACAGCACTATTAAATTGTGCAGCCATTTCGTCCACACCGATAAAGACGCCGTCTGACAGACTGACATTCACTTACGATTTCAACCAGTCAGCACGTTTTGCGCACCACTGTGGGGATCGCGCCAACCCGTGAACAACCCAACAATGTACATGATAGTGGGATAATGGTCACTTCCATACAATCTAGAACAGATCATTGCAGGACGGTTGCAAGTGATGAGCTGCAGAGAGCCAGATCGATTGAGTTCAGAATTACCAAGTTCAAGGTGTCTATCGCCGATTCCATGTTACCTCTCGGACAATTGTGGGATGGACCTTAAAGAGAACTGTGGGCATTTACATTACCGACTATCAAGAACTGAGAGGACAGTTGGTGTATCAATCCCAAAAGTTTATCAACGCATACACTCTGCCCTGGAGGATGTATATGTTACAGACAGTGAGGGTGAGGGAGGTGCATCTGCACACACACAGATGATGGAACATGAGTGTCCTGTAAACAGAATATTAAAGGCGTTTGACTGGACAACAGATTCAACACGTCCCGTCGCGAGGGGAAACCATTCATATTCCAAAATAGAAGAGCCATGAAGGTATTATATTTATTTTTTCTTCTTTCGGCGTCGTGTCCCGAATGGGCGAATTTACCACCCCCACGGGAGTTTCCTCCGAGGTAAAATCCTCCTGGGAAGTGCTGCCAGGGGGGGGGGGGCTACATGCTTGCTCAAAGCGAGTATTCCAAGATGTAGATAGTCGAACCTATGATGAGCACTTAATAGTCTGATCTAACATAGATCCGACATCGGCTTCCATCGAGATATTTTTTGATGTACAAGATTTCGTTGCTGAGTCGGCTGTGCTTTTTTAGCAGGTTTCTTGTATTTGGTATCCATGATCACTCACCCGCCTTGCAGGGGTGCGGTATCCAAATGGAGGTCCACTGGGGACACCTGGCAGGCAAAGTTCACGACTGGGGATGGATCTCGCAGTTCGGCAGCTCGCTACTACCATCGGAGCCTTTCACGGTGCTAGAGGACCGAGAAAGGTAAACAGAGTTCCTTGCCTGGAACCGACGTTTTGCATCGGGGAGGAACACCTCAGCGACTCTGATCTTTCTTCCCCCAAAGGTAGGGCATTGCTTGGAGTTGGACGGATGGTCACCTTCGCAATTTACACAATGCGATAGTGTAGCGCAGGGTTCAGCTTCGTGCATCAATTTTCAGCACTTTCCTCACACCAGGCTATCTGCCATGCACCGCCGTTGTGTATGTTCGAAACTTTAGCACTTGATACACCTCAAAGGGTTAGGCATGTAATTCCGCACGTGGAGGTTACAAAAATCGCAGAAGATCCTTTCAGGGAAAGGTGCCAGATCGAAAGTTAGAATCAGGGTAGAAGTGGGGCTTTCTCGCACATGCTTCTGTAAACGTCCGTCATACCCTGGCTTTTAAAAAAACGCGACTATTCTTCCTCACTCTTGGCAGCAAAGTCCTCATTGTTGACCACTCCCTTGCAGAGGTTAAGAGTAGAGTGTATGGTCACTTCCACCTGGAGGCCGGCAATCTGTTTAGTTTTCCTAATCTTTTATATTTGTTCATCCGAACATGCTTTAAGAAGAATGGCACCATTGCTTTGCCGCACCACGGCTTGTAGTTTCCCATACATTTCCTCAATAGCGCGCGCCAAACGAGCCGCACTAACCATTTTAAAAGATTTACCTTCCTCGGCGCATACCATAACAGTTCGTTCCTGACATCTCATCTTCCTTGCAGAAGAGGGCAAGGGAGAAGGTTTAGTACCCATGGAGTTGGATATAATATTCATCCCCGTGGTCCTCACCCACCACGGAGCCCCGCCGTGTATCTCCACGCCCAGCCTGGAGTTCAGTACAAAACCTCGTCCGAGCCGATTGATCGGGAGCGGGTTAGCACTCGACTAGAAGAGCAGTGAAATGGGAGAAGACAGAATATTATACAAGAACGAACGTGGAGAGAAGAAAGATGACTGGTGAAAGAAAGAGTCTAAAGCTCTCCCCCCGCATCAGGACGTGGACCGACCCACCTCAACGGTCCCCCTAGGAAAAGCTCGGGTTTGTGAAGGAGGTGGTAAATCTTGCAGAAGCGCACCCGTCGCGTTTTGAAAAAGATGAGTTAAAATGAGTGAACTCGCTCCATTCATGCTATCCGCTAAAGGTAAATTCGAGCTGCCTTTGGATGAAATTTATACTACTGGACGAACAAATTTCCAAAGCCGTGGTGGCGCCCTCCCCAGAAAAACCAACATCGGGAAAAGTTGCAGAAAATATTTAACTTGCAATAAATCGGCTCGTTTAATTTGAGCATACCACCAGCACAATTTGTGAGGATGAAGCTAGTTTTAAGTGACCGATTAAGCGGATTTAGATTTATTTAGTCAAAAAAAGTAAAAAAAAATGTATGTGACGTATGGGGGTGACGATTATAAGGTAAATAAGGAAAGGTAAATATTTTCGGAGAAGATCGTGCCATGGACTATCTCGAGTTCGTTCGTAGCTGGTACATGCGAGGTAATGGAACTTCAGTGGGAGTTGGATGGGGGCTGTGTGCTGCTAATAACTAAGCTCAGGATACCGACCCTTTCATCAGATTTCATAAATTACTGCTTTGACTGCTGGAAATATTTTTTTTAATCTCTTAATTTCGCGTGGGCACAATTGTATCTTCAGTTATCAATTTAAAGGTTGTCTTAGACAAGTATTAAAATCCCAACACGTTCAAATTGGTTGTACACTACAAGCCATAGTTTTTCTCGTTCAAGAAATATTCTGAAAAGGTAAAATGTATGTGATAGTTCGGACATTCATCCCGCCCCTGCTAATTCGCAAACGGCCGCCACTGCTCCGGAACCAATGTCCGGAGAACGTGACCACTCCCCTTCTCTGTGCCCGCAAGTCTATGTAAGCACATATTAATTCGCTGCTGGCTGCCCGCTGCTTATCGTGCCCGCCGCTCCTATACTCCTCCCCACGTGGCGTCTCACCAACTACTACACGCCTGTGCGCAAACTTGCTACATAGAAAATTTACGGCAATCGCGTAACCATACGCATTTCACCATTCGAGTTCTCGCCATCTACTACGCGCCTTCGTAACGACAGTGTAGGACGCTTAGCATGCCTATTCATAGCTCTCGCACAACTACGTATCGCGTCAGATGACTTCTCGGCGCATCTTCAGAACCAACAACCTACTTGATATTCAAGCATAATCGCTACATCTACGAGCAGCAAACTCAATTCTACATGCCACACCTAATTGGGCTCCAGTGACTGCGCACATTGGCACGTGTGTTATGTGTATTTTCAAGCATTAAACATTGTATAAATTCTCGCTTATTGACACTGAACATCCCCAAAATGTTTCCCTGAACTGTCTTAATATATAAGCATAGTCGCAAGCGACTTATCATCTCTCTATGAAACCGCGACTTCTTACAAGAAGAACAACTAAATCGGTCAATTTCTTCATTTTGGCTGAATGTCATCGGCAACTCCTTCGCCCCTACTGTTCTGCCCGCCGCCTTCCCCACGCCGCAACAGCAGTAGCCCTTCCCAATACACCACCGGCACTTCACCCTCGCGCTCGGGCTCCGTCTTCGCATCTACCTCGGACAGCTTCCGGTGCCGGGGAGGAGACTTATTGAGCGTACAATTTCTATTGGTGCAAAGAAAAGTTATTACTGGAGAAAATATTTTCTTACCAATTCTTGCCAAAAATGCTCATTTCTATCTGTATTTGGGTTAGGGTAGAGATTCCAGAATTTAAGACAACTTGCACCCAATACACTTACATATTACGTCACAGTTTTAACTGTTCTTGATAAAGAAATAAAAAAGGGGGAAGAGGATAAATAACGCGAGATCTCGAGGTTGACCTCGAACATTTCTTTCAGTAAAATAATTAAGTCTTCTTATGGTTCTAAATTCCTACACAGAATTGCTGGTAATAAAATTGACATTACCTACTGAAAATAAAATTGACACTACCAACCTTCTCATCAGAAGAGGCAAGCAGCAAGTCAAGCCAGGGATAAAATATGCCATCTTCTGCCAGGCCATTCGTATCAAAACAAGATCCACAACATAATAGAGCACTCATAGCCTGCAAAGCAGACAACTGCAACTCTGCACAAGCCCTGTCATCCGAATCGGATGTCGTAAGGGAGCTAAAAGGAGGTGCAGAAGATGAGGATCCGGTATGCATTAGAGGCCGTCCAAAATGACCACTCCAACTTGCAAAGAGATTGAATAGATTTCTTCTTAAATCTCTCTTTAATAAGCTTTCACACGTTTCCACTACAAAATAATAAACTCAAATATTACATCAGCAAATAAAAACATAGCATTCAATATTGACAATTATCTTTAAAAACATACATGAAAAGCTCTTGATCATTTTCCTAATGAAGTTACAAAAATGAAGTTTAATATCTTTAACCGCAGGAACATCTTTATCAGCTTCACTTTCTAAATAAAGACGAGCACCATCCATATATTCAACAAATGTGGAATGTAAAGACTGAGTGTCCCTATCCAACACACACGGGCTGGAAAAAAGGAACAGAACATGGAATCAATTTCATAAGGGTGACTAACCAATTGTGGTGAAAATTATCTGCAAGCTGATTATCAATTTAAATACACCACATAGCTAATGCAATTGTAATCCACCAAAAAATTATTAACATTTTACTCTTATTTTTAACAATGATTAAAAACAACATTTTGAAAAGAAACCAAGGCATACAAGAAATATTCAGGGACATGCATACACATTTTTGAGAATTTTTTTAAAAACAATTTGGCTTGAAACTCAAATTTTTAAAAACATGTTAAATTGATTTGTTTCTTTCTGCTTCATTTCTTGCATGAATTCAACAAAAAATTCTCGTAAATCTTAATTGATGCTTTTTTCAATCCAGAATGTTTTCTTTTTGGAAGTGTCATACTGAAGAAAAATTCAAAACCTTTCAGCTTATTACACACATGTAATTCATATAAAATTCAGGGATATTATGAAATTCTATAATGTATTAATATAATCATGTGTATTTTTGTTGATGAATTCTATGGCAAAATATGTTGAAATCTTACAATTGTTGATCATTGCTGTTTATAACTACGTTATAAAAGTAATGAAAAGTACAAAATTCATTAAATTGCAATAAAGATAATTGGGGCCTTGCAAGGCCAAAGGAACTAAATTTCAAAACAAAGGTTTCTAAATCTCATATAAATTGGTGCCAATACACACTTAAAAAAACAATGTTCCAAACACCTTCGAAATAATTGTAACATATACCTAGTGATGGCTCTGGTCGTAAGTAAGGAACACAAATTCATAGACTTTTTATTGATTTCCCGAAGAGAAAAAACAAAAACAAAATGCAAACATACAAAAACCATTTTTAGCACTTCACTCCATTTGCTTTGCAAGGCCCCAAATAATGAAAAAATGTGCAATAGTTACTACATTCTTAATGTATGTTAAAGGACAAACAAAAGCAAAACACAACAAAATAATTTGTTTCAAATAGTTGCTTAATAATACAAGTTTTAGGAATTAATTTATTGTTTTTAAGTTTGCAAACATAATTGGGAGATAAATTCAAATGCTTAAGAATGAAAATTCAAAATAAGTTTAATAGTATCCTTGCAGTCTACTTGTTATTAAGAAACAAATAAACATCGAAATCAGTTTTATTCATAATTCTTCATTTTTCAGATTGCTCTGATTGATATACCATACTGATCAAAATTTAAAATACTTTTGTGCTACGTATATCACTATACTTAATACAACCATGTTTTTAATGAATAAACATGTTTCTCATAAAAATTTGTAACTTTACGCCTAAACATATTATCATTTATGATGCCAAAAAAAAATTATTACACAGGACCATAATTGTACCACCAACTCCACACCACTCTGATAAATTCTTAACAGTTTATTGAATTAATTATATGTATTTCAACCCAAATATAAAGAAATATAGTTGTCTGGTCAAATTAAGAAACCCATATGATTGGCTTTAATGTTAGAACTCATGAATGCATACAATTTAACTCAGGAACCCACAAAGTATTAGGCCATTGTGAAACAATAGACGGCAAATCAGGTGTAGTGTCATCAAAGAGGCCAAGGGAGAAACGGAGTGAGTGAAGTGCACTACGGAAATCACTGCATACAACAACTCCTCGTGACAATCTTCATTCGATGTGTTTTTGGGCTTACAGTACGTTGAACTTCTCTGCAGAAAATACGCTACACAAAGGGTGGATTTGAAATGAACGAGTAGCAATTCTACAATAGAACGGGTAGGGCCCTGAATCACTCATGACACAGACATCAGCGTAAAGGAAAGTGTGGCCAGGGTAAGCTGTTCTCAACTCATTGAAATGTTTCAGAAAAACTAGGGGAAGAGTAGTACATTTGGACAAATTGCAGTATTTTCTCTACTGGGGGAAAAGACGTTTCCAGTGAGAAATAGGGGAAGCGAAATGCGGAAGGGTTTCACAGTCTTCTATGCACAGGTGGTTCGCCAGTATCCGTGAGGAGGCACTTGATGCGACTAATGCGATAGACTGAGGGGAGGTGACGATATTAGGTCCTCAAACAATTTCTGGAAACAAATACTTGGAGGTAAAGACAGTGATAGGTTAAGAGCGGACACAAACCGGTGGTTAGGGTATAGAATGATCTGACGAGTTGAATGATCTGGTAGGTTTGAAAGTTTCGTACCATAGGCTGCAAGCAGAATTTTGAATCTTCTACTTAAAGGTGGTTCGCCAGCATCTGACAAGAGGCATTCGATTGCGATAGGTGGAAAAGACCAATGGCTATGCGGATGCCAGCATTGTGAATAATATTCAAAAGGCAAAGGTGATATGGACACTGATTCATAAACAATAATAGAGTAGTGCAACACTATGTGAACTAGTGTTAAATATAGCCACAGAAGACCAATCCCATCTGCTCCCCCATGAAATCCCAGCAAGCGTGAGGAGGAGGAGGATGAGAGAAGAAAGCATCTGACCAGCAACCTACGGAATAGTTGAGCCATGTCAGATCTGTTTCAGAAAAATAGCGTTGTCAACGAACAGGAGCTGGTGAACTCCTAGGAAAAGTTATAGTTTGTTGTAGGGATAGTAGATACTGCAGAAATGCATGCAGCACGTTTTTGCATTTATTTGTTATTGAACGATTAAAACCGGAAGACAAGCTCAATTGATGCAATTTAATAAAGGATAGTTGAGGCTGCCTTTTGATCACATTCAGACTTCAGTCCAGCCTCGTATAGCCAAATCGTCCACAAAGAGTGATACTTCATCTGGTTCACGTACAACAGAAACAATAGAGTTAACGATGATAGCAAACAGAGTGAAGGTTAGGATTGATCTCTGAGGAAGATAGTTTTCCAAGAGGTTGGGAACTGGATACCATGTTGCTCAGGGTACATGTAAAGATCTACTAGAAAAAAACAAAGAAAAAAAAACTTCTGAAGAGCATGGGAAGCCGTCCCCTAAAACCCCTTGGGAGTAATATACGCCAAATGCAATGCCTCTAGATAGTATCATAGCCATTTTCTATGTCGAAGCAGATAGCTGCTAAATGTCTCAGAGATATCTCAGTGGCTAACGTGACTAAGTGATCCAGAGTTGATTGGTGTTTTCTGAATCCCCATTGGATTGATTTTAGAAAGTTTCTTGACTCGTTATGGAGATAGGGTGGTAATGATCAAGGTTTCCCTTCCTTAGGAGTCGGAATGATAGTGGCATCCTGCCGTATTTTTGGAATGATATGTTCGTACCGGATTCGATTGTAAAGATTAAGAAGAAATTGTTACCTTGTTCTGTCAGATGCTTCAACATCACATTATGTATCTGGTCAGGTGCAGGAGAGGTATTTTTTATTGTGCTCGCCCATAGAAAAAAGGCATTGAGATATCTTCCACACCACTCGAAAATAAAGCTGGGAGCTCTCCAATCCTCTTTGGTAGAAAGGAAACAAGGTATAAAGCAAGGTGAACTCGACATCTAATAGTAGGAGACACGTCCTCTATTACATCTGGCGAGGTTCACAAAAACTATTGATTAAGCATAATTCACTAAAAGCACATGCATGGCAAATTCCTTTAGTTTTTCGTCTTTGCGTCCAGACGATATTCGGAAGGTGTAACGTGTAAAAGAAGATATGGAGGTTCTCCAGAATTCGTTTTCGACGGTTGGATAATGGTTCACACTTCCCAGTGACGTCTTCCGTGCATTGTTCGCATTCTTACAATCTGTTCCATCGTGGTATGATGTAACTTCTCAGTCCGCTAGAAGATCTAGGAATGCCAACTGTGGCTATGCCGATCGGTGAAATAGGTCATTGTATCGATGTTCTCGAATCTCTCGCTCTGCCCGTGAGTTGGGCACATGGACATCTCACACTTCGGCCAATTCGCTCGCTGGAATATCCAGTGAAAGGGTCGAGCGGGAGACGGAATGAGAACTTTGATATGCAAGAAGGGTGGGTAATGATCGCTCCCATATAAATAACTGAGGACAGTCCAGGGCTCGGCCGAGGGGTTGGCTGCAGATGGCTAAATCTGTAGATGAAAAGGTCCTAGAAGCAACTGAAAAAAAATGGATGTGGAGACCTGTTGTCAACAAAATGATTGTAATTCCCTATGCCTGTTTTACAATATCTCTGCTCCTACATGCTCGAGAGGAGCCCTGTTGAGGGCTCTCCAATGATGACAAAAGGTTATGGTAATTGGGAAATTACAACGGAAGGTATTCGACCGGGGAGGATGTAAATGTTTCAAACTGAAGAGATAAATGGAAGGTCTCACGCGCACACATGATTTGGAAATTGGACTGGACTGTGATTTCTTGACAGAAGAGATAGTCACGGCCAACAAAGCGACACCAAGGACACGGGAACCATCATCAAAATGAATCTTAAAAGTGCGAAAACCTCAGAAAGAAAATGCCCATGAAAAAGATGCGTTTCCTGCAAACACACAACAGAGGGGCAATGGCGACATCGAAGATCTTCTGAATGGGCCCACAAAACATTTAAATGCCATGATAGGAGAGTCATTATGAACTTGAAATTTGTACCTTTTTCTTCGTTCGCATAGCTGTTCGTTTCGGACGCCAGGGACGCCGGTTCCGTCGCGAGCCTCTCTCGCAGTGGTTCTTCCTGTCCACTGCTAGAGCAATCAATGAACACATGTAGTTGACCTTCGCCGTTTCGTGCGAGCGGTCGGAACTTGTTTGTAGACTGTTTAGCAGGTGGTCCAGGGAGTACGAATCGCCTGCCAACGAAGATTTCAGAACTCAGACTCGTTCAAAGTTTTCTATGAGTCATCTTTTACGTTTTTTATACTTAGATCGTACAATAATCTTAGCCGTTGACGGTGCTGTTGTACGTAAGTCTATGGGAGACGTCTGGCAATCGGCCACTTAGCCATTAAAGGAGTAGCACGGTCTCTCTCGATGTTCGCTCCCTTCTTGGGATGATTTAGAACACTAGAAGAGGTTCACAATATAGCCATGGGGTGTTTTACGTCGTATCTCCTTTGCTTCCGGAAACGAAACCTTGACAGTCATCCTGGTTTTCTGCATTTCCCTTTTCTTGGTAAACATTTGACACTGCTTCGAAGTTGCGGCATGATTACCCTTGCCATTAACGCAATGGCATGGTTTTGGCGCATAATGAGTTTTCTGGCATGCAGCGCTTAACGGTAAGACTAAACTTTTGGCATTTGTAACAGCGCAGCGGGTTCGGCACGTACTGGCGCACCCGAAATTTATAAAAGCGAATATTTCCGGAAGCGAAGGGCGGTCGAATGTAACGATCATGGTGACGGAGGTAATTTCTTTTCTTTTCTCTAGATCCTACAACATCTTGTGTTTTGAAGAATAATTTTACTTCATCTTCATTTTCTCTAGCGAAGTCCTCGTGATTTACGAGAACTTCGGTTCAATTGAGGTTAGGGTAGGTAGACACTTTAACATGGAGGCTGGCAATCTCTTTTGTGTTCAATAGGTTGGCTGTCATTGAAGGCTTCGAAGATAATGGTATCATTTCTCAGAAGAACCACCACCTGAAGCTTCCCATATCACTCGATGGTGCTGGCCAAACGCACAAGGCTGGTAAGACAGGTATGACCTTTTCAGTACATTCCATTAGAAGAAACCGCTGTTTAGTCGGCTTATCCGTCTTGAGAGAAGAAATTCTTTAGATCAATGATTCTTTCCTCTGAGGTTTCACAAGTTTCGTTCCGTTGGGAAGAGAGCGGGGGGTACAGGGATTCTTAAAACCCAGATAAAGAATTTCAGTGCACCACCCATAACTGAGTTCAACAAGGGGACACTCCATTGGAGAGCCACGGTTGCCACAGCAGCAGGGAGTGTCCGGGCTTCTTCTCCGCAGCACACACCATAACAACCCCTATTGTGTATTTCAATATAAAACAATGTTGTCTTACTATGAAGGTTTTTTAATTTTATTTTAAATTTACTAAAAAAACTATTTAAAAATTGTTTATAAAAATAATATACATTTCTTTTTCAGAAATATAAAAAGATACATGATAAAAGAACAAAGAAAGGAAAAAGTGTAATTCATACTTTTTAAAAATATTGAACCGCTTAAAAAATAGAAGCAAAAAGATAAAAACCGGTCCGGATGGCCGAGATCGCTAAGGCAGTAGGGTCGTAGTGATCTCGGACCGAAGGATCGCGGGTTCGAGTCCCGTCTTGGGCATGGTTGTATTTGTTTGCCCCGTCACACCCCTATCATCATCATCATATTGTGTCATCCTCATAGGTACCATACCGTTACACGCAATTGTGGTCGCTAATGACTTAGTAGTTGATGCGTCCTTAAATAACTAAAAAGATTAAAAAAATTATATTAACATGTGTACTTTCTTTTAGAAAAACAAAACTGAAAAAAGGGATGTAAAATTATGGGACTAGTTTGACATCACAAGTCAAACACTCCCAGTTGAGTTTTTGAACTTTCTACAGTTTGTGTTTGGATACAGTTCATTACTCATCGTTGTACATTAGTGGATGTTCAGGCAAACTGTGCCTTATATGAAATCAAAGGTGTTTGTAAATTGTGAATATGCTTCTGATCCATTGAATCATTTGTCAAAAAACGTTTTCTTTTTAAAAAAATTGAATGTAGAAACACCATGGACAACAAAATCACGAAATAATGTTTAACAGAAAAATAACTTAACTCTTATGAGAAACGTATATTTCATTAAAAGCAATAGATTTATATTAAGGACTGTACTGAATTAGGATAAAAAGAGAAATAACTTACAAAAAAATTTATATTTCTACCACATTGTTTTGAAAAAATTCTAATATGCATGTCTTCACAACTTGTATTCTCAGAATTTTTCAAAAACTTATATTTGAATTAAGATTAGAAAACATTAAATCTAAAAATTAATATTTTTTCACCTTTGTTGAAATAAACATGAGGTAACATTTTCTGGTAATTTGGAGAAAAGTTTCGAAGGAGTTCAATTTTCTACAGGTTTTATTTAAATTGATAATTATCTTGGCTCTTATTCATTTATAACCTACAGAATAAAATTGGGAAAGTGTTTCATTATTTACCTTATTCCAAACGTTCCATATTCAGCTATTAATTCTAATACACGTACTAAGTGCAATCGTAAAGCATCACGCCGCCTCCTCCTCCTCATATTTTCCTGTTTACGATCCACAGCTTCTCTAATGTAATTCACAAGTTCTTCCATCAGATCTCTGTTGGAAAAACAAAAATACAATATAAAGTGATTTGCAAAATACACACAATTATCACAAAAAATAATAAAATACTAAAATGTACTGAAAAAATATACGTATCCAATATTACAGACACTATCATTTATAAAACTCTCAAATTATTAAGAAATATAATTTGTTAAAAACTTGTGCACCTACTATTATACACCTGTTAACTCATATTTAATGCATCCTTATGAACAGGAACTTTTCCAGATATTTTTAAAACAGCTAACGTACAAATGGAAACCTTTCTCACTACACGAGACATTTTCATATTGCCAACATGAATTTAGGAAATTAAAATAGACGGAAACACTGATATTTTCTTTTCATAAAGATGTCGCTTCAACCAAGGATCAAAATGAAGCACCTATTGGAATATTCTTAGATCTTTCAAAAGCTTTTGACATCGTTGGTCTTAACATTTTGCTTACAAAATTACCTTCGTATAGAATTCATGGTAACAACGATCTCAGAGAGTAGAAATATCATACTGGAATGATGGGACATTTTATACGCACTTTTCCAATTCATTGCCAATTGCACAAGGGGTCCCGCAAGGTTCAGTTTTAAGCCCTATTCTCTTTCTACTATACGTAAACAATGTGGCCTCAAGGATTTGAAATGGAATGACAGTTCTCTTTGCAGACAATATAAATATTCTTTGCAATAAAGAAACAGTATAGTATAGTATCAGATGTTTCAAATTGGTTCCTTAATAACAAATTGATAGTAAATGAAGGGAAAACAGTTGCAATGCAGTTTTCCATTTCAAATAAACAATGGCATACTCCATTAAAAGTGAATGATGTGCAATTCACCGATGTTAACGTAACAAAATTTTGGGGTATCTTCATTTAGTCACACCTCAAGAGAATGTCCATTTAAATGAATTGAACAAAAAATTAAGTTCATTAAGCTATGCATTCAGGATTCTTTCAAATTCAGTACAGACAATCTTTTTTCCCCAAAAACTAGGTCAAATTTTATTTTCATCGTTTATTTTATAAAAAATGATACTTACTTTAGAGCATCAGGATTTACTTTTCCTAAAGCTTGGACAGCAGCATCTCGCACGTCAGCGGTTTCACAACGTAATAAAGGCACTACAAGTTTGTACAGGGCAATTGGAGACACATTTCCACCAGGAGATTTACTATCAGTGCGTTCTACAGTTAAACTGTCAGGTGATGAGCTGTAGACAAAGTAAGTAAATTTCACTTTCAAATGAAAAATAAGAACAAGAGATTTCAATACATATGCTTTACTGTATAATTAACATTCTTTTATAATCGCCCATCATTTATTTCCTCTAAACATACTAATTTACACATCACTATCATGAAAATAAATATTATCACTACTACATCAATACCGCTCTTATCTGACATTTCACACTCTCATCTGACTTGCTGCCCGACATGCACTGCACTATATACTGTTGAGCTTTATGTCTTGCTGTGAAGAAAATTAAATGCCATGTGTAATTCTACTGTCTGCTGTGAGAGCAATAAAAATAAGCTTGATTTAAAGACTACAATGGTTAAGTACAGTCATGAAATTTGTGAACTCAAAACTGCAAGCTAGGTTGTTATTGATGAAGTTAAGAAGTTGAAGGCATGAAAGTCCAACTGGGCTCATCAAAGATAACACAAGATTCTACTTGTGCTAACGGAACATTGTGTGCCGAAATTCGTTCAATGTTTGAGAAGTATTAATGTGTATAATGTTGCAGAGAAGTATGACCTATTTAAATAAAATAATCTTGAGAGTTATAAACTTCTAGGAACTTAAATTTTGTCCCAAATACGTGTTCTAATTTTGATGTTTCACGAGATTGAGTGTTGAGTGTCGTCAGGCTCTTCTAGGAAACTGTACCATAGTACTTCTAGAAATAAAGATTCTCAATCAAGAGTCTAGTCTAACAGTTTCAAATTTCATCCTGATGAATAAAAAAATACCACAGAATAGATTGCATTGAACCAGACCACACTTTAGAGCAAAGGGGACACATGAACAAACTCGTACTTTAACTCCATGAAGAATCTCTTGAAGCCCTGGAAATCATACCATTACAATTACAACACTAAACAAGCCACATGTGGAAAACTAAAAAGGGAAACATCCAATTCAACACGTTAACTATCAAAACGTCAGTGGGCTTCGAACAATACTTGCCCATTTACTTAGTACTGCTGATTTTGAAGGTACTGACAATGCCCTGACTGAGGCATAGTTACATGAATATCTCACCAATGCTTATGTATGACCAAATACTAGATTTTCAGAGAAGACAGAAGTACATCTACTAGCCAATAACAATGAAGTGGTGGGGTTGCTGTTCTGAATCATAATACGCTTTCTAGCATGAGATTAAATAGTGATATTTTCAATACAGAATAAATGTTTGTAGTTCTAATCAATAAAGCTGATAGCAGATTTACAGTCAGAATCACTTATTAACCATCAAAAAAATAACCAGAATGTTTATGTAGCCTTTGTTGAAATTGTTGAACAATTATTTAATTACTAACCAACATACAAATTCCTACTCGGTGACTTTAACTTCTCTCAAACTATCTGGACTAACAATGAAAGAGGTTCATATCATATCTTTGTAAATACATAAATGGAAGTGCAACTTCACTATTGCTAAGTACCGTCAAATTCAGTATTACCTAACACAATTTCATGAAGTTCGAGGCGATTTCTTCCTCCTTGCAACTGAATTTTTTTCCATGACTAAAAACTCCACAGTTCAACTTGGTTAAAAGTTAAAGACCTAAATTCTGCAAATTCTTTATCTATTAACAAGGTACTTGACTCTGAATTGGTTTAAACTCTTAAAGAACAGCTCCTTATACTTAGTCACTGATATATTTTATGCAATTCTTCACATTATTGTCAAATACGAATACCAGATATTATAGAGGTGGCAATTACCCAACTGGTCATAGTACAACAAATAATTTATTCAATTACTAAATCAAAAGAAAAGTACACGAAGTCACATTATTGAGCAGGCGCGCATTTGAAAAAGGAGAGAAATAGAAACAAATTAATCCTTCGATATAGCTTAGGATTCCCCCGCTGACGCAACAAAATCCGAATTCACGCAGAAATAGAAGAATCGCTAGACCTCTAGGAGACGTCCCTTACGAATGTCTATGAGACGCCACTGAACAATTATGCGAACGAATCGCCGAATTACCACGCATAGAATTAAGCCTCTTCAAAATTATTCAGGTTTAGGGGTCGGTGGCGCGCATTCTGGGTAAGCTAGGTAGTATGCTGCGCTTACCCGCGAGAAAAGACAGTTCAATGCAATTATTATATTGTGAAATCGACACTCTCGTCATTGAAGATAACTATTTGGTGTTTAAATTTCTGTTGAGGTACTCTGGTACTCTGTCTTGCGGGTGCGCGGCTCATGAGCGTACAACGCTGATGCTGAAAGAGACAGTTTTTTTATTTATTTTTTTTATAGCAGGCGCCGCAACCCGTCCCGAAGTGAGCATGCCGATGTTCTTGGTCTAAATGCATTAGGCAGGCAGTTCGCGCATGCACTCTTGACTGTTGGGAAGATCCATTTGGTTGTACGGAGCATTCTGATAACTTCAGCAACCCAGGCCGGAACCTTCGTTAAGCCTTCGACTTTACGAACGTTCCGCCCAGATCCATCGGCCCAGAGTGGCCCTGAAATGAGCTTGCAAATATGTTCGCATACGACGCACTGGTAAGCGCTGTCTGGTCTGTCTAGTGTTATACATCATAAGCATTTGTGAAGTTATGTAAATCTGTGCTTATTACTTTAGTGTGCGTGTACTTCCCGTCTACTGCCTTTTGTGATTTGTATGTATGTACTTTGGCATTACAAATCATAACGAGCTAAGGCCTACGCCGCTGGCGTCCTGGTCTTGCGCCATGGGTAAAAGGGGAAAGTGTGGTTAGCACATAGCCATACGCCGTATCCTAGTCTTCCCATCCTTGAGATGTGAGCTTTCTCATCGTCTCACAGCAACAGATACTGGGACACTACAAGGAAAACGCACAGTTAATTTTTTGACCCGACCCGGAATGGAACCTGTGGTTGTGCAGTGGAAAGCAGTAAACTTAATTATTCTGCTGGTCATGTTCATTGTTTTCCCGTGATTGTAATGTGTGGGACAAAGAAGACTAACAATTTGAACAATCTTTCAAATGCAATCACAAAACACGAACCATGGCAAAGCCATTATTGCATCATCGCAAAATTGTTTCTGAAGTATATGAATACCGTAAAAACGTAAATCAGTATTTATTGTAAAATATATGTGTACGAACAGAAATGGTACATACTGTACCTACGCCACCTCATGTTGACTAATATCCCATTCGGCACGATGGAGATGACCAGCTGAAGTTTGAAGTACGCTTCGAAGTAGTTCCTGCTTGGGACTTTGTCTACCCATTTTGGATGATGTGAACATCAACTGGTCACGCCTAATTTGTGAATTACCCAGTTTCCAACATTAACCGTTACATATACACACATGCGTAGCTTTAGCAACCTGCAATCCACCACCACCACTACTAGCAGAAAATTTGTATACACGCTAACCTTCCAACATTAATCAATTCACGTCTTAAAGAAAATATTGAAAAAAAGGGAAATCATGAAGAGTTACTACAGAAAGACGCGAATGAAGCAAACTACTTCTAATGCTACAGAGATATGGTGCTATGAAGACAAACTTGTTCTCACCTCAGCAAAACTTGGCCAATGACAAACGCCAACCAATAAACCAACCGACCGTCCGACCCCTCAACGTTTTCACGAAGCTTTTTTTATTGAATTGATTTTCTTGTTTGGAGTTTGATTTTTACGATCAGGAGCTTGTGTTGTTCTTAAAGGCGGCTCCACGCATTCGTTATTCGGAGAGTAGCGAGCAACCGCTCGCCGAATCTCGAGTAGTGTGAATGAGTTGCTTGCTATTTGGCGAGTGACTAATATTCGATGCTCGCCCTACCCACCGCATGTCGGTCTTTAGGACACACCAAAGGGAACGAACATTCTCCGAATACATCAGCTGTTCGGGATTGGCGAGCAGCAGCTCGCTGCTCGGCGAATGCCGAATATGTGGAACTGCCTTAAGGCTAATCAGTAAGGAGTGCCAAGTGGAAAAAATGAACACTTCTGTCACATTTTACTCTTCGAGTTTAAACGAGGATCTAGTGCTGCAAAAGCCGCGAGAAGAATATGTGGTGTGTTCGACGAGAAGCGCTTGCTTAGTATCGCACGGGAATGATTTCCGCATGCCAGGGAAGGAAAATTGGACTCGTGTGAAGAACCACGTTATGGGAAACATTCTCCTTATGATTAAAACTTTCTAAATCAGTTGCTTCAAGATAATCCTCAACAAACCTAACAACGTGAATAGGCACAAATTATGGAATGTGATCACACAAATATTTGCATTCCTAGGGTAAGGTCAAAAATCGGGAACATGGGTGCATGTATTAACTGACACAGCAAAAATCAGCAAATAGTTGTATGCTCGTCTTTGCTGACCCGTTACCGTTTGGCTTGTCATAGGCACAAGCCATTCCTTGGAAACACTGTTACAGGTGACGAGAAATGGTGCCTCTATGTGAACTTAAAGAGGAAAAAATGACTCAGCAAATCGGAAAAACACCCCGCCCGAAGGACGGTGCACACCCAAAAAGATCATGCTGTGAGTTCAGTGGAACCAAACAGGCACTTTTCACCATGAATAGCTACTAAAAAATTAAACGTTAACAGCTGCTGCGAATACTGAAAAGCTACGATGACTCGCTGTTTCTATTCAAAACACAGCACCTGGAAAACGAGCGTTGTTACTTCACGATAAAGCTCGCCCGCATAAGTCCTGAATCACCACAGGTGCGATTGCTGAACTTCATTTCCTCACCCTCCATATTAACCAAACTTAGTCCTTTCACATTATCATCTTTACGTCCTTTCCTTAACATGTATTTCACGATGAAGCATCTCTAGGCAAATGGCTGGTAGATGAAGCATGAAACCACAACAGTTGTACACGAGAGACAGAACTCCTACCCCAATGCGGGCAGGCGGTAATTGACAAAAATGGTGAATACATCACTGAATGAATGTCTGAGCATTAATGATTCGTATCAGTATTGTATTGTAATGTATAATAATGTAGTGTTATACTAATTGTAATAAATAAGTTGTAATAAAATGGGTCAAACCTGTGTACAAACCCAAAATTAGTTGCCAAAGGGCAATGTTAGACTAGTTAACATTTCACATACACCTATTGATTGAAAATTTCGAAGTTACATGTTCACATTTCACAAGTACACGATTTGCAATATGGTGTACGTGTAACATGCCACAAGACAAATAAAATGCGAATAACAATAATAACAAAAATGCACTGATAAACAAGCTATTCAGGTCAGTATCTAGGCAAGAGAGTAAGCACGTGTGATGTGCGGTTAGGTAAGTTGACAAATAGGCAATACAATAACAGATAAAAAAATAAGTAAAATTTCCAACTACCTGAGACTGAGATCCGGGGATGCACATCTTACAATGGGACTAGGCACAGGAGGAACTACTCTAAATGCAAATGTAACATAATTTTTCCACACATTCATATAAATATCTCTTTCGTTAATAGGTTTCTTCACTGCAGTTGAACTACGTAACAGGGACGCACGGTTGTCGTTCACAGGTCTATAAAAAAAATAGAAACAAAAATCATGTTAACATCTAATTTAAGCTATAGCAGCTTACCAACGATACACAGACTCCTAAAAATGTCTCGGAGATGACCCCTTATATTAAATACGTTAATGTCAGTGGCGAGGCGACAGTCATCAATAGATGCGGCAATGACGAAGCAATAGTGTAAAAATTAATTTTAATACTTTTATGTATGGATTGCGGAAGGCACCAGCAGAACATACCATAGCTGCACCACAATATGAACTTCAATTGTGAAAACAATGCAATGTTTTTGAGTGCGTTGTGTCTTCACTGAGATTTGTTTGGTTTAATATGGTTGGTTGTTCTTTAGTTATTATTCATTGTGGGCAAAATTGAAGAAGATATTGTTTAGTCTCAAGCAGAAGTCGTTTAGTCTTAGCCATTTGGTTGTTTGAAATTTGAAGAGAGGTTTTTGATTTGAAGAAGATATTTGGATTTCTACTGGTGTTTCAAATTAAGTGACCTTATAAATTCGGCTAAAGCTCATGAAAAATCAGTAAGCCACCTTCAATGCATTGTGGACCGTTTGAGAGGAAAGATAGGGTGGATAAGGGCATCAACAGCACATTAAAAATGAATAATACATTACATAACCAGGAAATGAAAAAGACTTGAGAAGTCTTGAAACGCTTAATTGATGTAACATGCATTCTAGGAAAACAATAACTTTTATTTCGCAGTCATCAAGAAATAGATCAAACATTTCATATAGGAAAATTATGTAGAGACTTAGATTCTTTTTAAAAGGAGAGGAAATTCACGTGGTTTTAAGTGTGTCCAAGACAGAACGCCCTTCAAAAATATTTCAAATTCTTCTCTCCCAGTCACTGCAGAAAGATAGGCCCGGACATTCGACAAATCTTGCAATTACTATGCACCAATGCCACACCTCGCCACTGATTAATGTACTGTATGGTATGATAACCACTTTGTTATGAATCCATGAAACTCAATATTAATTCCCACAACAAATTACTTTGGAAAATAGAAACATGACTGACCAATATGCAGTTCAAAAAGGCATTCACTTCACTTTGACCAATAAAATTCCGAGGCACTTTTTCAACTATCTTAAAATTATAGTCCAATTTATTAGTTGTAATAAAATATCAATTAAAAGAATGTAGTAAATGTAGTAAATAGTCTAAAAACTATTAAAAAACACAATCATCAGTGGGCCTCTAAGCTCTCACCCGGTATTACTAGTTAATGCGGGGGGGGGGCTAGATACAAGTTTTCTCAAAATAATACATCAAATTCAGTTTTCTTATTCATTCTTTCTCATTCAGTTTGGGAGCAATGCTTCTAAAAAGAAATACAAAGATTTTTCAGAGGCAATTTGTCTTCTTTAAAAGTGACATATATATGCAAAAACTAAAAATTCACGAATACAAAGCAATGTCAAAGTGATACTAAACTTAATTTTATTTGTTTTTGTTTAATAAGATATTGTATTGGAATGTATTGATTTTACAAAATTCACTACTTGATGGAATTGATATTTTATCACAATATACTTTCTTGAATAACAGACATGACAACACATCAAAAAGGTGTTGTCATCACCTCACATTGTAGGATTACGGCTTAATTATTTCACACTTACGTGGGATCAATAACACTGAAGAGGGACGTAACTCTGCCAAAGACAATTGGCCAGGAATGCATAACAGCTGTAGGACACTGTGTAAGAACACGTTCCCTCTCAAGAAATCCAAAGAGGCATGTTCCCCAAGGATCTATACCATTCAAATTCAGAGATGATGAACTCTTCGAATTATTTTCATCAGGAATACCTGTACAGAAATTTATTTTTTATATCTCATCCTATACTAGGTGTTCAGATCTACTGCATCTGATGATAGAGAAAACACATGATTTCACTTAGTGATGCACACAAGTATTATCCGTGCCTGCACTGTAATCGAGCGCTAGAAAGCAATAATTTACACCAGCGGTACACGCTTATCGCTGAACTCGATGACCATTTGTGCGAGGGCTTGGCATGGCAAGTTCTTTTAAAAAATCAATATTACGTTAACCACAGTCAATATGTTTATGTGTACCCAAAACCCGTGAATGCCTGTGCTGCAGCTCACGAGTTCACCAAACGCTATCTGAATCAGCATTTGTACTTTGTCTGGACCTCGACGATGTGTGGAATGGAGTTCATGTTAACGCGCCAAAGTATCATGAACTTCATAATCGATATGATCATACGACCTGCCGCCAACAGATTGTTTCTTCCAGGGTTGTGAGAGCGTGTGCATGTATGCATGCATGTATGTATGTATGCATGCATGTGTGCAGAAGCAAAAATATATTTTTGAAAACTACTTTTTTGATGTTAGGGATCCCCAAAATGTGGATTTTGACTATATTACTATTTTGAAAGAGAAAGTACTACATAGTTGACTCTGGATAAAATGAGCTCGGATGTATTTAACTTTCAGTTACAGTGAGCAGTAGTCATTGGTATCAATACACATACGTAACATAAGCACTAGTTGTTTATAGTGAACATAGTAAATACAACGAGAAAATTCATTATTCACCTCAGCATCACAAATCATATAATACTACAGATTTGCAAGTAAAGCGTCTCATGAGTTATTTTCATACTTTGGTGAATGAAGAGGATTGAAGGAACTCCTACTTAAAGAATTGCTTCAGTTCATCAATTCTGCTCGGTCTATGCACCTCATGAACATGGCCCCGACTAGTGGAAAACTTATTAGTTATAGTGAACCTCTGATGTAATGAAAAACCAGAAATTAGTCCTAAGAAATTCACTATAATCCGAGTTAACTGTATTTTGCTTTGGACCATGAATAGACCACTTTTTCAGAATTGGAGACCCACAAAATATCTTTTCCTGATAAAATATTGAATAATTTACATAGAATAAGATACTCTGAATTGAAAACTCATTAATTAAAGCAAAAAACAAAATTAATTAAAAAACATGGTAACATGTGTAGTTCTCTGCCACTGAAAACACACAGCAGCCTATCAGAAAAGCTGTTTTGTTACATTGGATCAATCATCATACATCAAGATACATTAATATCATCACTATACATTAAGTCTGTTTAATTTGGCTTCCTCTGAACCTCACTCTATAGGCTCAGTAATCGCATTTGCGATAGTTTTTACACAGTAATGTCGTTTATGGGTTTGATTTAGTACATAAAGAAAGAAAATCGATTGCAGGATTTGTTCAGCATTGCATATCAATCCCAAAAATATTGACAAGACATGCATATGCAGGAGCCAAGGGAGCACATTTTGATGGACTTAACTTTGGGTAAATGGGTTCTGTTAATGTTAGATATAACCTTTGCTTTTCTATCTCTGAAAACCTCCTAGTCATTACTGGAGGATTTGTCAGCAAAATGCCATGAGATTTTTTATTGGCACAATACACAGAAGACATTGGTGAACAGTTCATGCAGGTGAAACAACTTCCTCTAAATAAATAAATTACATTTTTATACAACATAGCTTGACTTTAGAAATAATGAAAGAAAATCTGAAAGATATGCGATTCCTATATATTACTCATGTAACATGTTAAAATTATGGCCTTCAAACAGCACAAGTGGCAAGCCAAAAACAGCTGCAATGTTACTAAATTTAATATTTTATTAAATGATTTACCTGCTGTCCAAATACAAGAACTACGTTCAGCAATCCACTGTAGATCAATATTTGACATTGATAAAGCAGCCGTTTTCTCTGCTGGAGGTAAAAGTCCAAGACACTTTTCCATAACTTGAGGACAACACTGATCAATTACATCTATAGCTGGAGGATCATCATCCTGACTTCCTAAGGTTTTTAATAATATCTTTGTCTCTCTTAGAATATGAACAGAGAGGCGTCGAGGAGAAGGTCTACAGTTACACAACATAACCAGAGCGAAGCCTTCCACCATGTGAAAAACATTGGAAACAGGTTCAGCTTTCTGAAAAAGATAATTAACAATCATCATAAACGTAAAAAACAAAAATATAGTAAAATTGGCAAATGATACTCAGAGAATCCATAAATTAATGAAAAACCTTAGTAATAGAAAAAAAGTAGTGGTGTCACTCAATAAAACATTGTCATAAAGCAAAACTTAAGAAAAAATGTATCTGAGAATAACACATACTGGTATTTATTACTTTGTGAAAAATGCAAAGCACAAAGATTCATAAAATCAAATTTTCAGAGATTTCAAATGTGGAGACCTGCAGTTGAAAGCTTAAAATTTAACTTTAGGATGATTCCGATCATTAGTAAAGTGACATTAATTAGTTTGAAAGCATGTCATCTTATACAGATGGAAAATTTCCTGTACAAAAAGGCATGGTGTATTCTTTCAATCTTTCATGGTGTACAATTCAATTCTATGAGAATATGCGACATGGGTCTGTTAGGCTCTAGAGTACAATTGATATTATGAAGAAAATACTATTTATTAACTTGATTTTGTATTTGATAAAAGTACTTCAGACATTTTCTGTCTGTTGGATTCATAATCCCCAATTTCCTTAGCAACTTTGCCAAGGAAGGGAGCACATGGGAAGGAATATTGCCTCTCCATCTCAAGCTGTCATCCATGCTGTTACTCCTGTAAGTAGTGGCTACTTGCCTGTAAAGAGAAGTACTCTGGCCTGCACTTTACATTACTCAGACAGGTGAATGTGCAAAGTGATATCAGTTCACAGCCTAGCAATCTTGGTGCGTGCTTTTGCTGCTCGTTAAATGTTTGGGAGCCATCTACTGACACTGAAACCACTGACGCCCCATGCCCTTTGGCGAGTACACCTCAAGAAATGGGGACTCACTCTATGCAGAGAGGATTCTTTTCTTTCTGCTCTGTTGCTTTTATCATATCAAAAGCTGTACCGAAATTGTAATTTCGTGAAGCATTGTAATGTGACAAGACTGTCAACTTTCTAAAATAATATGTGCCTACCTGTTGTATTGAATTAATGATTTAGTCAGTAGCTGCCCTTGCTCTCCTGCCTTGCATCCAGATATAGCTTTATCTTTTACACAAAATGCACAATTTAAAATTACAAGTAATTGGTTTTTAGATCATTTATTTTTGAGATTTGAATTGTGTATTACGTCTTTGTGAGATACGTATTTATCTACTTTATCATTTGTGTGAAAACTTAGATAAGTGACATTGTTATAAATCATAAAAACACATCAGTGAAAACACATTCTAGTAGTTTCCTGAAGTAAATCTATTTGCAGTTGGGACAAATTAAACATTATATTAGTATGTCTTATGTTAGTAAATATTGCATAGAGCTGATGATTTCTGATATTGTGAATTGAGATTTAATACATCACAATTCACAAAATCAGAAATTTTTCATTATGGTGCTTATTATTTAGCGGGACTATTTATAGTTGCGCTGCATAATTCCAACAGTAGTGTGTTTGGGGTCATTAGAAAACCACTGGAATAGTTCAGCAACATTTCATGCAAGCAGTAACTGATGTGATGTCACTTCACAACTAAAATATCTGCAATGTGTCTGTTTCACCATGATCATGGTAAATCAATTTTCAAATAATAGAGCCTAGGGTTCAAATTCACCCATGCAACCCCTTCTGGGTTAATATTGTACTTCATGGCCTCTGAATCATTTTCATTGTTTATACAATCACAATAATTATTATAATTTTCTGAGGGAAATACTTTGCGATTAACAAAATAAACATTTATAGATTTTTTAAACTGGTTTCAGTAAAACAAAATTGTTTGCCTGGATAAATCCATGTGATGGAGAGGTGAGGTTCAAAATGAGGTTCAAAATTTTACAATTTTTGTGAAATAAACCAATTGATTCTGGATGGAGAGATTGTAGCGATTTTCATGATGTACAGGCAGATTTGAAAACTATATGTAAAATTATTACTGTTCAAACTTACTCCCAAGCCAAGAGACCCATGGGGTGCATCTAATGGTTTCATAAGAGACAACTTAAAAGAACTTTTTAATTGCTAAAACAGCTGAACATATTCAAAAGAATATACTGTGACACCTCAGATATGAAACAATTTTATTTTAATACATAAAGTAAGAAATGTATGTGAAAACATTTGAAGAATTTGTAAAAATTCTATTATAATAATTATAATTATAATAATAATAATAATAATAATAATAATAATAATAATAATAATAATAATTTTAAAATATTTGAGATTTAGATGCACTACTGAGCATGCAGCAAGGAAAACCAAACTTGCCTTCATTGTAAGAACATTAGTCTAATCAGGACGATAAGGGTTAGTTTAGAAACCAATTCATCTTTAATCACATTATAAATATTACAACGGATCGGTAACTTACCAAATTATCTTTCAATCCTCGAGGAGGACTAAGAGCATTTTTCCAACTCGTTAGCAACTGTAGGAGCATTCGCATACCATTGTCAACTAACTGAGGAAAAGTGTCTTGAACATCTCTGGCAAGAAATTGAGTGAAACCTAGATGAATATATAATCACAAATGTTATTATTTGTTAACACATATTATATATTAAGAAAATTAACAAAAGAATCACATTTTCTCATCAAAAAATCAACAGAAGAAAACAGCCAACACTCAACTAAATTCATATTGTCTTACTTTCACCTTATGCCAACAAATATTTGCAAACATGTTTCCATAATCATCAATATCAATTATTTCAAATAGAAAGACCTTTTTTCCAGCCTAAGTACTGAGTCATACAAAAAAAGTAAGGCATAGTTTTGAAGGTATTTGTATGACCTATGAGTACATTTGACTGAAATTGTTACAGGTGACCTGTAACACAATTTCAGTCAAATGGTAATGATAAGGTAATTATAACTTAATGTTCAGAAAAAATATATCACTCCATATTTGCAATTAAATGCATCTATTAAGGTGTCCCAATTGGTAGCACACCACCCTGTTGTTTGCAAGGTTCACAAGTTTGATTCTTGTTCAAGTTCTTTTTATGCAGTTTTTGGCCTAAAAGTGTAAGGGCAATAATGCTTTGTTGCCCCAGCAACTTAGAAATGCACAACAACTTCGTCTAATTATGCACAAATAGAGCTCTAGAAACACAGGTACTCTTAAACTGCCACCTTCGTACCTCACTTGGCATATGTTTTGCAGCTTTGAATTATTTTTTTCTAGATAAAAGTGATGTGGAAGGTTTTGTTTAAAGGACATAAACTTAAAGTATTCATTGAAAAACTACAATACACATTTTAATAATAATAATAAATAATAATAATTAATAATAATAATAATAATAATAAATAATAATAATAATAATTAATAATAATAATAATAATTATTATTATTATTATTATTATTAATAATTATTATAATATTAATATTATTATTATTATTATTATTATTATTATTATTATTATTATTATTATTATTATTATTAGTTGTTGGTCAAGGAGATGCACATTTTTAACTTTTCAAATTGTTTGGCCTATTGTGATGTCATACTTGTCACAAAATCAGCGAGATGATATACGGGGCGGAACAACTAAGTGATAATACCCATTGTATCTCCTCAAGCATGCAAGATAAGAAGACGGCCGTTTGGACAGTTGATTGCATAAACAGGAGCTACTTGATTACAGCATACTTTGTCTTTGCTCTATTATTTACTCTAAAGAGTTACAAGTTATAAGGTTAACTTTTTTTTTTTGGAACCCTATGCTAAATTTTAGTGTATTGTAATGGACTTAAAAATAGGATTTCAAATATGTTAACATCTTCATATTTAAGCAAATCGTATTTTAGAAATTTCTGTGTGTTTTGAAACGTATTTTCCCATTGAAGCTGCGATTCTCCATTCGATCTTTCCTTCTAACTAGGAGTAAATGGGGAATTTTGCAAGTCCATCCGAAATTGTTTAAAAAATCACTACTCATAAGAGTAATATTTCATTTATAAAGTAAACAAATACTCTTTTTGCTCATGTTCTGATTCTTTTCTTATACCTACTTTCACTGAAATTTTGACAACAGATTATAAAATTTTAATGAAAGTGCTAAAATGTTTAAGAAAACTCATGTTGCGAAACAATTACTGAAATAATTATACTTAAGCAATGTCAAAATTTTATCTCATTGCTTTCACAGCTACAATAAATTTGAAGAATTCATGCATCTCCTGGAGCAAAAAATTTGTATCCTTGAGTTTCAACAATATTCATCAATTGATATTCTTCAAACAAACTTTTCACCATCAAATTGATATTGTGAGTGAAAAAAATAACCATAGAACATGCTCAACTAGGCACAGAAGAGGATGATTAGAATTTTCATCTTTCAAGGGACTTAGCACAAACAAACATACTAGGCAGAGTGAGCCCAGAATTCTTATATAAATCGTTAAGTAGTTTTTCAATTATATTATAGTATAAAATTCCAATATATTTGTTTATTTGTAATACAGTCTTGGAGAGGATTTTAATCTGTGATAGTTCTGGCAACCCATATCATGTCTCTTGCACTACTTTATCTTCATCTGAAGTCAAATAGTAGTAGTAGCAGTAGCAGTAGCAGTAGTAATAATAATAATAGTAATAATTGTTATTATTAATTATTAATAGTTATTAATTATTAATTATTAATAGTTATTAATTATTATTATTAATAGTTATTAATTATTATTATTATTAGTTATTAATTATTATTATTTATTATTAATTCAAAGAGCCTTAGAGAAAAAAATTCTAATGCTTTATAACCTCACAGAATTTGAGATCAATTTCACTAAACAGAGAAATGAACATGATAAAAATGAATTCATTACTACACTGAAAAATAGAAAAAACATCAGTGAAGTTATCATGAAAATTATGTGGTTCGATCTATGAAAGATCAAACATCAAAACCATATCAGACCAATCAAGGTTAGGAAAGTTTGAAGGACCAGCACCAATCAAGGTTTCATAATCCTGATATAGTCTTAACAAGGTAGAGAATTAACAAAAAGATTTCTGACCCAAATGTCAATTTGAATTTCAATTCTGAATATTGTCTTCTTGTATCAAATGTTACAGAGATTATGTGAAGAATCTGTGAGATGAGCTGAATTCTATAAACAAAGATAAAATAACCAAGACCATCAAATATATAAATGGACTTCTACAGATTGTTGATGTTAGAGATAAAAGTAACAATGGAAACTTAGATTCTCAAAATGAGAATAAAAAAGGAACGGTCAGAATAATCATAGACTAGATTTACATTATTAAAGGAACAGAGGTCTATGTACTACATTGAAAAACATTAAAGAACCAAAATACATTTTCTGAGATGTAGATGTGTCCGTTTTAACTGAGACTTTCTTGGTAGTGGAGACATCTTGTTTCAAACTTAGCCTTGACAATTATGAAATTTATAGGAAAGTGTGCTAATTAGAAAAATACAACAGAGGCAAGTGCATTGATAGCTGTGAAGAAGATAGTGAAAATAACAACTCTGAGCTTGTCAAAATATTGAATATATTTTTGTTGAGTTACTTAAGATGAAAATAACTTTATAATTGCTGCTTCATATTTCCTGACAAATGCAAATGATGTTTTTAATTATTGTACTAATAGCTGTCTCAAAATTATGGAAATCACCTTCTCTAGTATAATATTCAGAAATAAAACTGTCGGCCTTTTCTTTTAATTTTAACAAGGGCTTGGTGACACATACACAAGTAACAATAATAATTTTAAAAATTTAAACCAGTTCTTATAGTGACAAATGTTCTTGATCCTTATTCAAGTACCTTAGTTTGACAAAAGGTAAGAAAGATCTTGTCAGTTAAGACTGTAATACTGCCTCCAAACAAAGTGAAGTATACTTTTGAACAACGATTCTGACAAAATGACTTTTGTTTCAGTGTTTTACCTTCCTAACTCCACCCATATATACTACCATTACACCACAAAATGTGTTTTTAACTGTTATATTTTCGAATTACTTTAGGCTTTTCATGTTTACTGCCCATACTACTTTGTTTAAAAATACTTTCTCCATAATACATTTTTGGAAAAAAATCGATACCAACTTTGATTCATTTTCGAAAAGTATTCTCCAAATATTAGGGTTACCAGACTGTCAAGATAAAAAATAGTACTTATTTAATAACTTATATTTAAGATTTAAAAAAATAGTATTTTCATCCGTAATCAAGAAAGATTATCTGTACTTTTACATTTTATCATTTTTATGAAGTCTTTATTTTCTATATTTAATGTAATTAAATTTATATATAGTGTGAACGAGAGGAAACTTTTTGGAAATGTTATATTTGATTGCCCAAGAGGATTTACTTACCAAACAATAAACAAAGCCAGTTTCCAATAAATAGCATTATTTATTACAGAAATTAAACACATTACAATAGGTGTAAATTACCCTGACACCTTTTTTGTATAGTTTAACAAGAAAAAACGCACTACATGCAGGGCAATCTACAATTTACTTAACAAGCAGCTGTTATAATGGGAAGGTAACATTTTTAACAACAAACTGGAAACATTTATTTAATGAATGTGTTGAGAGCAAATTTTTCACGAACAGTTTATTTGCATCATTAGGCGCTACAAAAATACAAACTTATCTTTTTCAAACAAGATTTAAAAAAAGAGAATAAAACAAAACAGTTCAAAACAATGAAATCGTAACAATTAAAATATGATCTGCTAAAAAAAATTACAATAGAAAAAAGAAATAACTAGCAGATAGAACAACAAAATTTTGATACTTGTTGACAACTTATAATTCAATTATAATAATAATAATAATAATAATAATAATAATAATAATAATAATAATAATAATAATAATAATGCTATACAATTCACATTACAAATGCCTGACAAATAATTCAATTAACTTTCTCAATTTAACCTTAACCTTCGAAAGAAATCAAAGTTGAACTAGTGGTGCTACCAAAGAACATACTTTCTGGGATTATTTCTAAATACTCTGCAGTATTATACTACTACATAAACCAACAAAAGTATTTTCAACCAGCAAATGTTTTTCCGAAAGCCGAACTCAGATGCTCAGAGTTAACTTGCCAGCACTCATACCACTACGCCAAACAAGCGCCGTGAGGGACGAACTCACGCAGAGCCATAAAAGGGTAAAGGTATGATTCATGTAAAAAAACTCTCAACAATCGAAATATCCGTTGGAAACTTCCAAAGCCTCCAGTCCGTTCACATCGATAAGAGATTACCAATTTCGGAGAAAATCGGCTGAACGGTTTAGGTGCTACAGTTGTACACAGTTGGACCGATAGCCATTAGGTTGATATGTTGATTGATTGTGATTCCGGGCGCTTCAACTGCTAAGGTCATTAGTACCGTAAATGTGAAACATGTTTATACTCGAGAGGTAGCAGTGTTCTTCCCTCACTTCTGCATGGCTAAATCCGCAGACCTACCGTCGGCTAGCGGAGTTTTCCCCAACCTTCCCACCCGAGG